CAGAGGTCCCTTCCAACCCCTACCATTCTGTGATTCTGTGATTCTGTGACTCCTCTGGCGCGTGCGGTTGGGTGTTCCGGCCTCAGGGAAACTCACAGGATTCCTGTTCGCATCAGAAGTAACCTCGCAGATAACTACAGCTAGGTGTTTTTAGAATTGTCTTAAGGCCCTTCGTTGCTTTTTTTGCATTTAATCCTGTTTGGACAATAAAAAACAGTCAGTTTTTCTTCTTGCCCACGGGTAATTTCCAGCAATGCCTTCAACGCTGCAAGACGTGAGCGCAGATCACCCCGGCGTGCTGGGAGGAGGTGGCTTGGCGTCTGTCCGGACGTCGAGGCAGGGAGGGCTGCTGCTCTTTATTTACTTTTTCATGTAAACTTTTCTTTTACCTACCTTATTTTCAGAAAATACGATGAAGCGCGTAACCCTGAGCGTATTCCTGTACCCTTGAAACGATCCTCTCGTTTTGCTGTCCCGTAATTTACGGACATGCGGTGGTTCGTGTGCGAGTCAAGATGCCGGATGCCCCGCGAGCGCTTCGCGTGCCCGCGCGCCGTGTTCCCGTCCCAGCGTGCGCTCGCTCCCTGCTCCCAGCCTGCGCAGCCGCTGTGCACTCCGCTGGGATGAGCAGGCGTGCGCTGGGGATGGAAACCGTCGGCACCTGCGGAAGGGTCTCGCGGAGGCAACACTTGGGGACAACATTCAGTCTTTTGTGTTTTCTGTGAGCGTTTTGGCACCCTCAGCCACTTCTAAAGCTCATTCTGTTTTCCAAAGCGCCAGAGCTGCCGTTTGCTTGCAACCTTACCGGTACTCAAAGCATTTCCAGCTTTGTTTCACGGCACAGGCGATCGTTGTCGAGAGATGTGAGGTCGCAAAACGTGCTGACGCCGGCGGCTGGGGACAGCGCGTTGTCCCTGTCGGGAGAGCACGCGCGGCAGCCGTCCGGCCGTCCCACGGACTCGCTCTTCCCTCGCCCTTGTGACAGGAGGGAGCTCCGATCTCATGACTCCTCTGTCCCACAGTGTTTCCTCCTTGGCTGCCAACGGTGTGGAGCGACACGAGTGCCCCAAACGTTTCTCTACGGGAGCGGGGCTTCTTAACGCAGCAACCGCCAGGCAACCACGCAGTGTCACACGGTGGCATCCGGGTTCGTTTGTCTGCTGGGAAGCGAACGTGACGGCTCTTCCGCCT